AACTAGGATGTTGGAGACCACTGTAAACCAATTTGCTAAAATCAAGGTAGATTGCATACGCAGATTTCTTATCCCTGGTTCAAGTTGATTTATTGTATTGAGATTGGTTTATCTTTGGCAAATCCAAGCAGGCTTTTTTACTCACCACCTTATCCATCATGTACCCACAAGTACCTTCCATAAGGATCTGTTCCATAATTTTCTCAGGCACTGAAGCGAGACTGAGTGCTTTGTAGCTGCTTGTATCTTCCTTTTTTCCTTTCTGCAGATAAGTGCAGCATTCATGCTTTTCCAGTCATCAGGGCATTCCCTGGTCTCAGTGATACCTGAAAGGTGATAGAGAATCATGTTGCAGTGACAGCTAAGCCTATTTGTTTTTTGCTTTGTTACTGCTTTGTGCCAACCCCATTCGGTAGCAGATCTACGTGTTGCTCCTGCTTCTTGCTATTAACATATATATTATCCTTGGCATCTTGTGTCAGCTGGACTTTGAGATTTCTGTAGGAAAGTCTGCATGTTTGAACAATATTTTTCTATTTCCATCTTTGGGGGTTTGCCCCCTTTTCCCCCTCTGTGGTTTTCATTTAACTTCTCTATTCCATCCATTTTCCAGTTTCTGTGCACCCAGGGGAAGCTAGAAAGAAGGCTCACTACTTTCTATTTTCCAGTTCTTAGTTGACATGCACCTTCTCTGAGGGAACACTTGGAGTAGAATTTGCATTTCCCTGATGATAGACTTCTCATTCAGGTTTGCTTTTTTCTTTTGCCTTCACTGCAAAACCTCATACATATTATTTCAAAAGCCTGTCTGGTGAAGGAATGTGAACCCATGTGGAGTGAGCTGAGCCTGTGCCAAGCATGCTTCAGGTGGGAAAGCTATGTTATATTAGTATATCTGTTGTTTCAGATCCTAAAGCAGTAGGGAATTCGAGTCTCAATAGTTCTGCTCAATTATAGAGGTTTATGCAGAATACCTCTTTGAATTTGCCTTTTTACTGCAGGTATTTGAAATCGCTAGTAATTTTTTTCCCACATATAAAACAATTACTCACTTTTATTGCTGCCTTTCTAGTTTGTCCGTGATATTTTTTGTTCGGTGTCTGTTGGAGTTCTGTAGTGGTGAAGAGCAAATATGCAGACTTGTTGTACTGTGGTCTGGATTTCAGTTGGGAAACCAGGCAGAGCAGATGTCTAAAGTGAAACAGGTCTGTGACCCAGAAACACCCTGGATCCTCCTTGGGCCTGACTTTTTGTTTATGTATTCTCATTTAGCCTTACTCTCTGGTGTCCTGTGAGCTCTTTAGACTTCAAAGTGAGAAGATTCCTCAGTCTTTGTCATATTCTGGCCCCTAGCCCACACACCCTTGGCTTCCTCTTATACAATTCAAAGGAAAATGTCTGCAGCTGAGGTGTTTCAGCGTTTTTCAGGTGTTTCTATGGGACTCTGTGAGAAGATAGGATGGGGAGATGCTTACCCACCATTTTTTAAAAGGCAGCGTACCTTGTTTTCTACCTTGCTGAACAGGAGGGTGTTATCTGTTCTGCCATGTTGTCCCTATGCTACCCCAGCAGGGATAGTGCAGGGGATGAGGATTCTCTTTCTTGCATGTGAGAGAATGACAAAGGGAGGGATTTCTAGTAGTTCCTTGTATGAAGTTTGATACTTGGGACTGGCACTAAAGTTGGTATTTGCAGAGCTCAACTTTCCAGCTTGTCTAAATTGAGCTAACCAAGGAAATAAGATATTTACAAGATAGGAGTCCAGAGTCTTTTAAATGTTAAGCCTTCTCTACTCTGCTCCTTCCTGATCTTCTATTCAAGTAGTCTTACTCTCCATATAACTTCTTTAGTTTTAAAACAGAATAAACAAATGGCTTCCATGCGTAGGTTGAGGTGAGGATGAATGTGAGCCTCAATAGTCCAGTGATGCTGGTAAAGAATGAGGAAAAGCTGCAAGGTTGGTTTTCATTGAAAAGCGCCTCTAACTTGTAGCTTTCAGTGAGTATTTCAGGGAGTACTTACATATAGTCCATACAGACCTTTTAGCAAGGTCTCAGTTTCCTGTTACCCAGTGCATTCGTGTGCTAGGAAATCTTCTGCTCATGGAGAACCTGTTACAGTGCAGCTCTAGACAATTCTTTGTTTTCTTTTAAAACAAGCTCCCCACCTTCTTTCATGCTGTCAGTGCAGCCCGTGTCTTAGCTTTGGTGTTGGCTCTGTACCTTAAGTACACGATTTTCAAAGAGGTGCTACCAGGCTGACATATGATTTGCACCTTGAGCATAGCACTGATTTTCGTACGAGCACACAAACAACGACGTGCTGTGTCTTTTCAAATCCTCTTCTGCAGCCTTTAGGTCAGGGGTATGTCCCCAGGGCTGTTCTGTGTTCTTTTGCGGATCAAAGTGGTCTTGGAGTTGTTCCAGCTTCACCTCTACAAAGGTATCTTTCAGTCTTCTCTTCTCCCAGCGTGCATCTGTGAGCCGTTCTAAAGTCTTTTCTCACTTCTGCCCTTTCTTGTCCTGGTAAATTCTCACTCGGAGTAAATTCCCTGCCTCTGCTTGGAGGGATGGTAGCTGCCTGGAGGATGGGAGGTGTGTGCTGAAAGTCATGTCGGCCCTCACCCAATCCCTGCAGAAGTGTCATTTCTGATTACTGTTGCAAAACTATGAGAATTCATTATATGTGAGTTACTAAATGTATTTTTTTTTAAGAGGGAAAATACTTTAGTTTTGCATCTTAAAGTATACTGCTACATCAGAGGTGAAAGAGCCTTAAAAGAATAGAGATGGTTACCTGGGTGGGAAGCTCCCTGAATGCTGAAGTGGAAATGAAGGAAGAATGTACTATGCTTTGTATCACTTCCCTTGTTGTTTGTCAGAAGATGAAACACCTGATTTGCTGTATGAGAATTAAGCACAGGAGGAGACATCAGCAGGTCTATTTGGAAAGGTAGTGCTGATTCTCAGAAGGCGTATTAGTGAAGACTTTCAAACTGTCCAGGTCACATTATTCAGTCTTGGTTTATTCCTTAGCACCGATGTCTTGGCAAGGCAGGTGCAGAGTTGGGGTCTGTTCATACTGTGGTGTTTGCAGTGGAACTGAAATCACAAAACCTGCTTACAGCAACAACATACTCTGTGTGCAGATTCCTGGAACTGTGTAAGGCATAAACATGCTAGTTTGCTTTTTCTGGGGGGAGAACACAGGTCCCAAAGCAATGTGTTGGGATCATCGTGGTGTGTGGAAATGTGACTGTCCTACCACACCAGCCAATAAGCATTCGCTGTCATGGTGTACAATGTGGACTTGCAGCCTTGGGTTGCAGTCATCCATTATCTTTGCATGGTGTGAGTGTATCCTTTCTCTCTTTTTCTTTGTTTAGGCTCTCTGGGATCCTTACTTGTAGTGTGAGTTGGGGGTGAGGTGGGGGGAAGCTTCCTTTGCTTTTAGGCATTAGTCTCAATATGAAATGTAAATGAAATGTAATTGACTGTGATGTGAAGATGGACAGAATTTTATGCAAAGAAATTCCTGAGTGGAAGTTGATTACTCAGAGTGATGGACTGTAAGGATAAGTCTAAAAATGTGAAACAGGAGTTACTGTAGGGTTTGGCACCTTCAAAGAGAAGACAGTTGCAATAGGTAAAATGGGAGTTAGTGAGTAGAAGTATTAAGTGCATTCTCTACAGAAACAGACAGAACAGCAGTTTTCTTTTTTTTTTTGAGGCGTTGTGAAAATGTTAGGCAAAAAAGAGATTTGAAATGGGGAAACCAACAAACCAAGTATCCTCTCCTAGCAGGTGAGCTAAAGACATTTAAAGAAGGTGATCAGGTATTAGTAGATCAGGCCACTAGTAGTTTATCCTTGATCAGGTTGAGGTTGATGGAGGATATGGTTTGAGTGGAAGTTTAAATAATATGCATTAAAAAATGAGTAATATGAGCAGATGAGAGCAATCAGAAGATGAGAGGAGTTGCTGAAACATGAGAAACCAGAGGAGGAGGAAACTAATTGTACTGGGGGTTGAGGACAAAGATGCTTCCAGGATCTGGCCATGAGAAGATCAGTGTGTAAACTGTACTATCTAACATTAACTTCATCACGCTACTTGATTAAAAATGCTGGCTCTGAGTACTTTAATATGGGTTCCCTCAATGTGTTTGTGGTTACACAGGGCTGTGTTGGTCCTGCAAGTCTTCAAGATTTGCTGGAGCAAATAGTCTGGAATAGTTCAGCCACGTGTTTTTAATTGAACAAGGCAATGTTTTTGACAATGTCAGTTGTCCTTTCCTGATAAACGACTGAAGGAGTACTGACGGCGTAATGTAATTTGTTTTGTTAATTATTCTGGTGAGATTCCACTGTGATGCAACAGAATGCTTGGGAGTTTGTAGCCTAGTGAGTCCTCTCTATTTGCCCACACAGTGCCGGAGGCACCCTATTAGTTTTGCTTACTGCTTATACTAGATTTTGCATTTGGATTTGAGGTTTCTTATGTGCGCAATTATTTTGCCAGTGTGTGGTGGTTTATACGTTTCACTGTTCTCCCTGCTTCAATCTTCCATGTACTGTTAGGATGTACAAGGTTGGAGCAACTCTGTGCCTGGGTTGGACTGTACTATGGAGTCTACATGCTTGCTGTCTGTGGACAAACAGAACTGAAATGGCAGTAGCAGCCATCACTGCCATGCTGATGGAGGGTTCTTTTTTTGACAGCTGTTTGTTCTGGCTAGCAAACAAACACAGCTTTCATCTATTAAGCAGGTCATTAGTTCATAACACAACCTTGCTATAGTTTGAGTAAACTAATGTTTGAAGTGAGCACAGTTAATGGATCTGGACAAGAATTTGAAACTCTCTTCCCCTCAGGGTGAATACAGCTGTATGGATGGCCCCAGTTCTGTCCTGAGAAGATGAGTTCCTGCTTCATTTCTTTCTTTTTTATTGACAAACATTTCTGGGATTTTGTTTTTTACACTCTTGCACAAGGGGACTTCAGAAACTTCCTCAGAAACCAAGCTCTTTGAACAAGTCTCAAAAAGCAGAGACTGGTGTTCATTAAGGCATTTTGGAATGCAATACAGTGACCAGTAAATGCTGTGTAGAAGTCAAATTTGCTAGAAAATCTTGGTACTGAGCTGAGAGAGACCTCATTCTCAGTGTTTTTTCTGCAGCCCAGCTTCATATTCCTCATTCAGTTTTAAGTCTTGTGCAACCTTTCAGACAGCTCCTTTAGTTACACATGCTGTTGTTTCTAGTTGCTTTTTACTGCATATTCCAAAATTCAGTTTCTGGACTTCAGTCTTAGTGCTTGATACCTTCTGCATGACACACATACATCAGCCAATACTAGCTATAATTCTCATCCATGTTTTGTTTAAGGCTGCTGTAAGCACACAGGACTCTGCCAAGCCTTCTGAATGTGTGCAGCATCTCAGGTATCTTTGATCTGGTGGGGTGAGAGAACTCTTTCCAAATTTTTTCTTAGTTTCTGGACAATGTATACCTGTTGAAGTATCTCTTCTGAATGGGTGGATAGCCTGTCTTCATTTTTTCTTCTGACTGGAAAGTAGGGGGCTTGCAAAGTTATGCTGTCAGAGTGGCCAACCTTCCTGATTTTGTAAGTTGCCAACCAATGTTTTATTTCATGCAACAGGAGAAAGAAGCCTGCAGTTCTATCCTGCAGAACTGTGGAGACGGTGAATGTGGTGAGTGGTAAATCAGAAAGAGATGAGTGCCTCTTGGAGGACTTGTATTCCTTTAGGGGTGGGCAGGTTGCCCAGAGGTGGTGGATGCCCCATCCCTGGAGACACTGACAGACTGGATGGGGCTCTGAGCGCCTGATGGAGTTGTCTTTGCTCATTGCAGGAGAGTTGGACTAGATGATCCCTTCCAACTCAAATGATTTTATGGACTCTAGCTTTGTGTCATGTCATCCAGGAAGGTGAGCTGCTTCAGCTTCTGCTGGATCACGGCTTCTTGGAGGTGGGGATCAAATGGGGCAGTCTCCATTGTGGCACAGCTCTGCTCTTGGTGTATGGAAATAGGGCTTCAGGAGCCAACAGGTTGGTTGTTACCTCGTTGTGTCTCAGATTGCTCCCTATTTTTTTTCTGCCATTCATCATCATTGGTTAGTTCCAGTGTTTGTTTCTTCTGGGCATGCCTCTTGCTGCAGAAGAGTACAAGGAAACAGAACTTGTTCTGGATAGTTATGCTCTTTGCTCAGGCTTCTAACCATGTAGCTAACCTGAGTGCTTTAAACATTAGATTGCTGATGACTGCTTCAGTTACTATGCCTTGACCTTCCCCTCCCAAACTGCATTTTTAGTATTTATATCATGGTTGGAAGAAACTACTTCTTCTATTTAATGAAGTCTACAATTATAAAGAATTGGTGGCTGTGACATCTCAGAGGTAAAGCTGTGTGTGAGGCTGAAACACACAAGGCTGGGTACCTGAGCAATTGGCTGGCATTGCAAATTCCTGGCTATTGAGAGAGCCCTCAGAGGACTCCTGCTCTGCACTGCACATATTTCCCTGTCCTTGGAATTATGTGCAATCTGTGTTTTTTTTCCTCTAGATAAGAAGCCCGTTCTCAGGAGTTTGGGGTGTTTGTGTTGGAGAAGAGATGTCATGCAGTATTGTTATTTTCCCTTTTAAAAGGGAAGGAAGCCCAGGCTTTGCGAGAGGTGGAGATGAGGCTCTTTTAACCTCCTTGGACTTGTCCTGGCTTTCAGAGGTGTAACTGTAGAGTGCATTTTGTGACTACAATCTGAAGGTCTGCTTATAGCTTGGAAGCTGTTATGGAAGGAGTGTTCTAGAGAAAAGTGGCTGCAGAAGGAACTTTCAGTTCTTGTCCTTCCTCCAGGATGATTTCTGGACTGAAGTGGGTAGAGACAGTATTTTTGTATGGCCAAGAAAGGCCAGTCGTTGTAATCTCATGGCAGAACGTGGAAAGATTTGGAGCTGTTCTTAAGGAGGTTTGTAACACTATAATGTTTCACCCTGGCACTCGGGGGGGGGGAGGAGAGGACAAAGGGTGAAAGCTGTTGTGTAATCATCAAGGCTGCTTTGAGGTGATTGAGTTACAGCATAAAATGTTCCTCCTTTGCTGTCAGTTTGCTGTTTGTCTGCTCTGTAACAGTAACCCACTTAAAATTGGTGCGGCCCTTTTTGAAGTTATTTTAAACCCCCAGCAATGTATACAGATACCGTAACCTTGGAGAAAAGCACCTCTGAGGAGTGCTTTTGCTTCTGCCCTTTCAGACACATGGAAAGTGCCAAAGTGCATTTCAAGGATGTTAAACTAAGAACCTCTGGGTTAGGGTTAGGTTCTGGGTTACGGTTTCAGAGCGTGACTGATACAGGAGCAGTTCTGTTTCATTAGACTTTAATATGGATTAAAGTTTTCTGTTGACTTTAAAGATTCCCACGGGCTCCTTTGGGACTTGGTTACGTTGGAATATTGCCATGGCAATTTTGGAGAGAGTTCTTCCACTATCTGATTCTTTCCTTGCTTTTTGTCAGCACAGAGCAATTGCTCCATCAGGTACTGACTTTAAAGTTCCTGTCTCAAACTCTGCACGGAATGAGTTGAACTCATCTGTGTGAGAGTGCAGACAGCTCATAGCAGCTCAGAACAAAAAACAGAGGTAGGATGAGCTGGGAGTCGGATGGAGGATTCTGCTCTCTCTGCCGAGTATTGCTGAGACTTGTTTTTTCTCTGACTGCAGATGAACTGGGAATGAATCCTGAAAAATGAGTGGTAGGAAAACCTCTGCGTTGTGCTACCACTGTGTTTCCCCTATTTCGTAGCAATTGCTTGAGTTATTCACAAAGTTGGGGCTCCGCAAGCTGTTCTTGCATTGAGTCGCTTGCAAGGTGAGAGATGCACGTGGGAAGGACAAGCTGGTGAAACAGAAGAGATGGCAGAACACAGGGAACGTGTGAAACAGCATGGGAAGTCTTGTTCCATAGCCTGGTTCATGCACAAAGTTATGCTAGTAAAGCACATCAAACTTAGAACAGGTAAAATAAGTTTACAGTATTGGTGCATAATTAGCTCCTTGTCATAATAGAACTAGAAGAGCTACTTAGAGTTGAGGGGAGGAGGAAGAGAGTATCTGAAGTATTCCTTGTTTCCTACACCAGGCAACATAAATGCCAAAAAGGAGACTGAATTTCATCACTTCATGATGCCTCTCTCATTACGGTTCAGGAAAAAATAGTGACTATTCCAAAATAGTTAGGAAGCTTCTCATCTTATTTTGAACTGTGATAGACGTGTTCCAAAGGGTGACAGTTGGTATTGTGCAACTATCAAAGCAAGAAAGCTAATGCATTTCAAACACCAGTTCTGTCTTGTGAAGCTTTTATGAGTGGTTCTGCAAAACAGATTTTTTTTGTCAGTTTGCAAGGAAAAGCTGAAGTGGAACCTTCAATTATTTTATATTTTAGATGAGGATTTATGGTTACTTTTAATTGTAGGCATTAAATGATTTTTCATAAGCAAGGTGGCAGTGACCTCACAGACATTCCAAGATTTTGAACTGGTAGCATGCTTCAGAAACATGGAATTCTTCATAATTGCAGCCTTGTATTTTGGTCTTTCTGGTGTACTTTAATAAATATTTGTTATAAACTAAGGTATTCAAAAGCAATCTGCATGTTCTCTGATTTACACTGTTTTTCTGATGGCTTCTTACTGATTTCAGATGCATCCACTCGGACTGTGTAATAGCAATGATGAGGAAGACCTGTACGAATATGGCTGGGTAGGAGTGGTGAAGCTGGAACAGCCTGAGCTGGAACCAAAGCCATGCCTCACTGTTTTAGGAAAGGTAAGGGCTATATGGATTGAATAGTTTGGGGGTATATACTGTTTTTAACTGTTCCTTGGAAGTTTCTTTCTGAGAAAAATTAACATGGGATTAAATGAGACCTCTAGTAGTGCATGAAGTATTCCCATTTTTGCCTGTTTTTGCACTTGGTGCCTCAGGGAAAGAATGTCCTCTCTCAGTTAGGAGGTGGTGATGGCAAAATGAGCACGTGGCCCTTCTTGTGCTGTGCAGGAATCTAATGAAGCCCTGCAAAAGCTAGCAGTAGTGCTGTTTGAGTAGGAGCAGAGTGAATGGCCAGTGTGATGGTGGCTCAATCAAATAAAGCTTATTATCAAATATTATCAAAAGTAGTTCAAGTGAAAGCTGCTTACTGTTCTTAAATACAGTTTTCTCAGAAGGCATACTAATTCAATTTCCTTTTGGGAAGGAGAATCCTCAACCCTTCAGGAATCTTCTTGCTGTAATTGAGGATAGGTATTGCTACTAACAAATGAATCTTAGTATCTCAATCAGAGAAATGCAAATTTTCATCTGTACTCCCCCTTTGGAATCTTTGGGCCTCCAGAACCTAAATTCCTTGAAAATCATTGTCCTTTGTTTTATGGTAATAGAAGAGGTTATTGTGTGTGTTAGTGTGGTAAATGCATGCGTATACAAGAGAGCAAATAATAAATTTATGTTGAGTAGCAAAAGAAAAACTGATGTAAGATCCTCTGGGAAGCTTGGAGTACTGTGAAGAAGAATGTAGAGAATACTTGAAGGCTGTCTGCTAAATTCCATGGCACACGAATCTGGTACAAAGATTTCCTCTTGTTGATTTTCTTTAATTGTGGTGGTTGTTAGTAAGATGCTGGCCTGTGTTTCTTAGAAGCTTTGCCTGAGTTTATCCATCTGCTAAATGGGATCGGTAAACGTACAGAATTTAATGTGTCCATTTCCGTACAGATTTTTGAATTGTTCATCCTTCTTTGTCAGATGTGTGTGTTGTAATGAAAGCACAAGAGGTTTTTTTTGGGGGGGAAATCATCTTCTGCTAGAGTGCCTGTGAAAACTGGGCTCTGATGGGGGAAGAGGTGTGTGTGGCAGCCGTGATTTAGCGCTGCCTTTGATCACAGTGCAGCCCTGTTTGAGGCAATGCTGCGTGCAGGCGAAGCAAAGGCCTGGGCTTTACTGATCTCATGAGCTCCTGAATAGGGCTGGGAGGGGAGTGACAGAGGAAGAAGAAAGCATTGGAAATGAAAAGGAAACCCCGTGAACCCAGCAAGCATTATTGGCTGGATTTGCCTACCAGGGAGCCGCTCAGTTTCTGCCAGGCTAATTCTGCTCCAAGTCCCTCTCCCCCACCCCAACCCCACCTCCCCCTCTCTTTCCTTCTTTTAGACTTTTTGTTTTCCAGGCATGGCTGTAGTAACTGGTTCTCAGGCTGGGAACCCACTGAGCCTGTTGCCATGGTCACTGGGAAGCTCTTCGTGCCATGTGCTTCAAAGGGAACCTTTCCCCTCCTAGAATTCCTGTCTTCTCTGCAGACAGCACAATGGGACTCCTTCCCCTCTGCCTGCCTTGCACACATGCTCCAGCAGCGTAGCTTTACTCTGGAGGAAGGGAAAAGCATTGTTGCCTACAAATTACCTGTTGTGCGTTTGCATCCACTGTGCTGGGGTGACGCTACCTGTGTAGGCTGATCTGCAGTCCTCTTGTCTCCCCCTCCCTGTTACTTTTGGGTCAAGGCCAGGTTGGATGGGGCCCTGGGCAGCCTGTCTAGTATTAAATGGGGATGTTGGTGGCCTTGCATGCGTCGGGGGGGTTGGAGATGCATGGTCCTTGAGGTCCCTTCCAACCTGGGCCATTCTGTGAAGGTGCTGAAATACAACTTAGCAGTGCCACTGCTTTTTTTTTGTTTCAGTACAGCGTAGAAGCTCAGAAAATAGTGTAGACTTTCTTAAAAGTAGCACTTCTTCCCTCTTCTGCAGGCTTGAAGGTCCCCTGGGAGGGATTTTGTTTCTTATTTCTCTTCCAGGGCCTTCTGAAGATACTCCTCTATATTAATAGGATATGTGTAATTGAGGATGTGCATCTGAGTAGAAGCTAACAAAGAGAGGATGTCCCCACTACTACAGCTTCCTGTTTTCTTCGGATCAAAGGAATCTGTAATAGAAGGAAATTCCTAACAGTTCCCCCAGTGTCCATTCACTTCTTATCTCTGTTTGAAGGGGTTGTTTACAAATACATGGACACAAACAATCAGCAGAATCTTGTTTTGTCACATCATGATTATAAATGCACTCCTTAGGTTGGGGCCAAAATCCTCATGAGTTCAGTCTGCATTAAACCATCTAATTGTGACTCCTAACCTTTTTTTGTCCAATATGTAAATTTAAATTTATAGATTCTTGTATGGTAATCAAATGTGAAATCACAGGGCTGCGTTGGTCAGTTAGTTTCTGAATAAAGAGTGATCTAAGGCTTGAGGAACTGCAGCAAATGGGCCTGTGGGGAGTTTTGTTCTCACTTTGTGAAGGTGCATAAATGAATTGCCTGGCTTCTATTTAACTCATGCAATACTTCTATCCAAGAATATTGTAAACCTCACTGTGAGCTCAAGCACACCTGCACTATGGGAGCCTGCATGCTTGTCTTGTTGAAATGCAGTCCTGTTTAGTTCCCTGTCCTGGCAATGGTGTTCCTTAATGAAGCTTTTGGTATAAGCCGTGGGGGAAAGGGGAGACTCTGCAATGCATCTGGAAGTCGTATTTTTATGGGTATTTTTATGGGAGTCAAAAATGCTCTAATGTGTGCTGATTAAATCAACATACCTGGATGAGCAAGTAATCAGCTGATACATGTCCTTCCTTATAACCTGTCAAAATGCCTCTAAAGAAGTGTTCTTCTGAAAACAGTCCTTTTTTGCAGCAGTAATTGTTAATTGAAGAAAATCAAGCCTGAGAAGCGCAGTCAGTTTGATTTCTTTCCATCCTGTTTTTCTGTTGTGTGAGCTATGACTTGAGTGAATCTTAACTGAATGAGTCCCTTCTCGGATAGGGTGGGTTGTGCTCTAAGTGCATAGAGTAACTCTATTGCATATACTTTATAAATAGCTTTTCTTGCAAGTTACTTTCTCCTACAAATCCATTTCCGAAAAAAGGAAGGCTCAAATTGTTTTTAGTTTTCATGTAAAAAGAACATTGAATTATATCATGCTCATTTCTAAAGTATTAGCAGCATCTTCACTTTCTTTAAAAAGTGATTTTGATCCTTTTCATTTGCAGCAAATGAAGGCAAATTAAATAAAATAACTTGTATCTTGATATTCATAGTCTAAATTAAGCATACGGTTGTATATGTAAATTAGAATTACAGGGATTAGATAAGCTTTTTGTTTCTGTATAATAACAGCTCTTATTTTATCAAACTAGGATATCAAGTGTGGGTAACTTACATAAATGGATTCAACTAAATTGCAGAAACGTATGTAGAACAAGATCTGAAATTATGCTACGTTTGTAGATATTGATAAAAGTTCCGCAGACTTTGCTTGTTCAGATATTTTTAATTGGTCACAGTAATTAGCTCCAGTGAAGTCATGCTGCCCATGGTGGTCCCTGTGTCTGCACTAGAAGATCCTGTCACTTCAGGAGAACTTGCATCCTCCGAAGCAGCTCACCCCGTGCTGGCTATTCCATGATGTGGGGACCATTGCTGCCTTCTGTTTGTCAGTCTGTTTCTTTACCCATCTATCTTAATCTATAGAGTCTCCGAATGTAAGGTAAAGTTTTGATTGACCTGAGAAGCAACTAGAATGGGTGACCTTCCAGCCTTTATTTCAATTTGTTTGCTTGTCTGTGTGGCTACATGAAGGCTTGTATTAGCAAGGTAGAGTCCAGTGGAGGTAGGAAGGAAACTACAGCAAATATGCTTTCTTATGGCAGTGCTGGTCTGACTGCACGTCAATTTACAGATTAAGGAAAGTTGTTCCTCAGTAGAAACTTAGTCTTGGTTATTTTGAGCTCCCATTGATATTCATTGACACTTCTGAATATCTACAGAGACCAGCCATGGACATGAGCACAGTGAAAGGTGAGTAGTACCTTTCAGCTGTGGAAACAGCAGTGTGGAAGACGGCCATGCAGATGTTTACAAGTGAGACATGCAGGCTTATGTTCATTGCTGGTGAAAGCACACAGATAATGTGCTGAAAATGTAGTGTTTTGTAGCTGACAACTTGCTTTATCAAATAATTTTATTGTACTATTTGTGTTTATTGTAGTTTTCGTGGAAATAAATAGGAGGCGTTATTTTTGCAGCAACCTGCTTATGATACTCAGGACACCTGAAATGTTAAAATCCATCTTAAACAATGGCAAAACGTTTTCTGTAATTGCATTTGAAGTGATGCTGTTATTTGTGCAAGTAATTTTGGTGTTATTCATCTTCTGACATTCTTCTTTCTTCTCCAGTGCTAGCAGTGTGGTGAGACCTCAACAGCATCTAGACTTAAAGATCTCTGGCATTCTAACAAAACTGTTCAGATAAGGCCAGAAGAGAGGGTAATATCTTTATTAAGGAAGATTTGGAATCTTTGTAATGACAGATACAGAAGTGATAATCTTAGCCTTCCCAATAGGGGCAAATGATTATTTTGAGTAAGAAAAAAAATCACTTTAAAGCAAAACACATTTGACAAAAGCTCAGGGCATTTGTTACTCTCTCCTTGCCTTTCCTTCCATCCTCCACAGCCCACATTCTTAACACCGAGTCTATTTTAACAGACTAAAAAAGGAATTTGAATTGGAAAGAAAAAGGAAAAAATATTGCATGTAGGCGTGTTTGGCAGCAGAGAGCACAGAGAAACGTGTAGGAGCAAAAATGGGGACTGGGCATGAAGCAGCAGTCTCATCACTACAACTGAAGTCTCGAGTTCACAAGTTTCTCATGTTTCTCCTCTCTCTTCTGTGCTTAGTTTGCACCTTTATTTTCAGCAGTGGTTTTAAGAAGGGAAAAAA